AGGACATTGAGTACTTTAGTTATGGTCATTGGGTTTACTTTTATATGTTTCTACATGATCATTTTAGTGTTTTACTTATTGAACCTTTTGTAACCATGACAACTGTTAGAATTTCACTTGACGGGGATTCATTTTATTTACACAGTCTCGTTTATAGGAACATGGTGGGGCTAAGAGCGAGGTTTGGTGCACCATTAACCGGTTTAAACTCCCCAGCAGTCATTATAATGCTGCTGACCGTTCCAAGGCGGCGCCCCTCTGAGTTCCTCAGATGTATGTCTATGTTGTTTCATACTGTTTTGGTGACACTTTTGCTTGTGTCCCTTGTTGTTTTCTCGTCTACGGTAAGTATCTTCCCCTTTACCCCTAGTTTTTATTTCTTTGATAAACCCCCACCCCCTTCCCCCATTCTCCTGTCCCCTTTGACTTTATGGGCCTATTATTCTATCATTTATTTGTTTTCTTTGAATTCGTAATCAGTTACAAATTGTTTGTCATTTAGTGATTAACCTGTCCGTGCTCTGTCTTTGCCCTGTCCTGTTTTTGTTTGGGGTCCGCTTGGGCTCCTTGCCACTGGTTCTTGTTGCTGGGTCATATGGGGGTTGCGTTCATTGAACGCCGCCTTTCCTTGTTGATCTTGTTTATCATATTTCTTTAGATGAAATTTCTATGCTATTCGAGAAAGAGGTTGAAGAGTTAGAGCTGGTATGTAGAATATTTCGCAACAGTTACAATAAATTTTGAGGTATTCAAGTTATATAGAGTTTTATTAGTTACCACCAGCGTCTAGTCCTCTTTATGATAATAATGGACAGTTTTGCTTTATATTCAAATATAACATACTCACAAAAAAGTACATTAAATATTGATTCGCAAAAATGAAAACATTTTTGTAAAATAGGCGCATGAAACAGAATTTCGTGTGTGTCACTTTCTGTAACATCTTGCAATGACCCCTTGAAAAATGAGGGCAGAATGTTTAGCATTTGTTTCCACGAAACTAAGAAACTATGATTCAGCAGCTTTTAATAATCATTGTTTAGAACAACTTAAACCTCAGGTTAGAATTTACATAGTAATAAAAACAGAGAAGTCAAAAGTACCTCAGAAGAATTCTAGCACCGCAATGTTTATTTTTAAGTGTATAAATAAAGCTAATATAGATAATGCAACTCAGAAATTCCATGCAATAATTATTTGTTTACATTATTTGTTGGTTGTGACATCTCTATTGAGCAAAATTATGTTGTCTCATCAAAACATCAATTATAGGCAGACTTTAAAGGGCAGAGATACACTATAGACGTAGAGATAATTCTCGAGTCACAGAATGTATAAGTTCCGAAGCTGTAACATGTTTTGGTACTGAAATGTATTCTGCGGTAAAGCAAAAGTCAGGAATGTATGTAGCAAAACTGATGAATCATTATAATGAACATTGTGATTGTAAAACAGATTACTTCAAATAGTTGTGCGCAATTTATGTTATAAAAGCAAGTGAAAAGGTAACGATATTAAAGCAAATGATTGTGGATTGGTCGTTAAGGAAAACATTAAGCGTACACAAAATGCAAGAAGAGGTTAAATTGTGTAAATAATATTTCTAGGTCATTTTACTTTATGAAATTAATTGTACACTTCATACATAAATAAATTTCAGAAAACAGGTGGGCGTCATTTTATGGAATTAATCATTATTAACAAAATATGACGTACTACATTTTTTCTCCTCAGAAATGAGCAAATGCAAACATTATTATAAACCGAAGTTGCACTGACTTTCTCATACTGTGGGCATTACTTTTCTGTGAAATTGTCTTTTGACCCAAAAGGTTGCATTAATGCCATATTTGTACCAATGAACAGTTGGATTGTTATTGGACCCACTACACAATGTTCTTTGCTGGCTACAGGAATGTTCTGTTGCATCACTATTTAAACAAGCTGGAGCAATACTTCTGTGGTGAATTTTAATTGTTCTTCTGCATATTTTCTATAAATTCTATACGCCTACTTAGTAAAAAAAAATTTGGATTAAATGTGAGCCCTCTGAAGCATTAATCCAACAAAATAACATGAAAATTGTAAGTCACTTTTGTTGGTTTCTTTGCTAATGGACATTTTACATAGGATACACTTGTCTAATGGAGGCTGCCTTTAACAGCCATCCCACCACTATCTTTACTGGAGTGTAATTATGTTGCTACTTAGCTTTTCGGCCGAAGGCCATCTAAAACAACTTTGACTTCCTGTAAAACGTACAGGGAAGAACTGAATAAAAACAATTTTCCATTTGTCATATTAAAATACAAATTGAAATATGGGAATCTTATTGGTCATTTTAAATAATATGTAAAGGAATGTTATTGCAATTCTAAAATATTTTTAACGATAGTTATAACGAAAGTGTATAAGATGGTTTAGTTCTTGCCATATTAAGATAAAATGTAAAGGATAGTTCTTAAATAGAATGTACAGAACAGTACTAAATTGCTTATATATCTTAGTTCTGTTTAACCATGCATTCTCATTTTTATCTCATTACATTTTTGTAATGTCTATTGTACACAAGAACTAACTCTTTTTAAATTTTGTAAAAAAAAATACTAAACCATAAATTTGAAAAACGTTCAGGATGCTGTAAATTTACTCATGCATATATTATATGATTGAATTATAATTTGCATATATCTTGGCATATTTATCAAGTATATATAAGTATATATAAATATAATTGCCCACCGACTGAGTAGATGTTAGTGCTAGATTTAAAATTCACTTTCGAAACACGACAACCTCGCTTACGAACACACACATACATCTTTAAGTATTCTTTTTGTCGAGACTAATGACGAAGTTGATTATCATATCAATGTATCATTTGTAACAAACGTATATTAAGAAAGGTTATATACGAACCTTTTTGTATTTTCAGTGTTGTGCAAATCCGTGGATTTATTATACCCACCCCCGAAAAAAAATATTGTAAAAACGTATTCATTTATAAGCGTTCTTTCCAAAATTTGTTTTGATTTAACTTAAATCGTTTATATAATGACACTCAGTATATAAAATATATATATTGTAACGAAATTACTGAGTATAAAATAAATTGTGCTATTTTATGTGTAACTTAAATTTGGCTTCAGACCCCAATCTTTCAGACAATTCGTTTAAGTAAAGTGTCCATCTTAAATAGTTTTCCCCTTCGAAAAAGACACGCATGAGTCATCTTGTACTGCCATCTCATCTAAAAATAACCAAATCTTTATTTCTGCCGCTTTGCACATCCGTTACCCCGTATTGTCATTGAAATATGGGCATAGCGCAGTGAAGCAGAATTCAACATTAAAACACGGAAATGGTGAAATTTTGAATTTAGAAACATCAGCAGATCGTTTAGCTCTTCGGATATGATTTTAAAAGTTAAACATTCGTTCTTGTTATACAAAGTATTTTGATTAGTCTTTTGACAGCTGTTAATTTGATATTCGTATTTCTATATATTTATATCCGGTAGAAAACCTTTATATTCTTTATCAAAATCACTCAATTAAATGGTAAATAAGTTAACAAGATAAATGTCAAATGTATCTATGATTTCAATGATAGTATAATATCAACACTTTAAAGTAATAATAGTTAAACAAAACGCGGAATGTTTATTTTCGATAGCCTTTGATATACATACGGAAGTTTATAAAATTAATGTTATAGATATCTTTTGTAAAATGTGCATTGATATCAAAAGGTAGTCTGCGATAGGCAAGTTACATAATTTAAATAACATATGCATAGATTAGCGATTCTAGTGTATCAATAAATGGATGACTTTAACAAAACCAAAGTAGAATTAAAGAAACTAAACTTTAAAAAACGAACTTGTAATAAAGTTTAGTATAAACTGAGCATCTCAAAGAATACCCTTGCTTCTGATAAACAGTGTCACATATGACAAAACTGAATCCTACTGTCAAAAACAAAATTGATATATAATTGTTTCAGACTGGGCTTTGTTTAAAGGCAGCATTTATCCCAGTATAAATGAGTTTGATAACGTGTTCTGTGACGTTGAAGGATTTGTCAAGGGATCAGCTCGCATCTGAAATTAAAAATTCAATCATATTAGGCAAAAACATTTGACCGTCCTTTTTAAACAGAACAATTAATCCGGACTTAAGAATATGTATTCAGAATTGCTAAATAGTATTTTAGATCCGAGTCGTGGTGTATAATGTAAAATACCGTACATTCATAATAAACATTTTCTCATTTAGCCTAAAGTTTTGCAGTAATAGGGAACACGTCCTTCAAAAATGTAACCAAATGATCTTGATCTCCTAACATAGTGGCAACGAACAAAAATTGTCAGTGTAAGATAAATATAGTCTTCACGGGTGATTTTCAAGTGTGGGTAATGATTACGTGTACTAAGTTCATACAGGTACTTCATATATTTGATAGCTTTAAACTGTTGATATTTTAAATGTACAAATGATATGGTGTATTCAAGTAAAACTCAAAAAGTTATATTTGGATTTATTCAGATAAAAAATGCACTGATGTGTATGTATATTGATATATGTCAATGTCGGGTATACTTTGATAAGATTTCATTAAGAAATAAACATATGTCAGTTAAATGTTAAGAAGCAGCTACTAATCAGTTCCAGAATTATGTTCTATTTTGACATTTGGTAAAATTGGTTAAAATAAAGAACTTTGCTAGGATGTTCTTTTCCAAAATTGCTATGGGCATTGGATTTCCTTTTGGACGGGGTTAGTAGTGGTTTCTGAATTCAATTCAATTGTAATAATGTATAGAAATGAGAGGTAACTCTTCAGTAACATTAGAAGTATTTGCAAAATGGGCATAGGAGTTGTCTCCCCTGTCACTTTGTATTGGTCTCATAACTCCAGATTGTCAGATTGACCTTACTGGCAATTTTATGTTTTACAATTTGTAATTGAAATATTGTATATGTTTGTATAGATGAAACTTAAATAAATATTACATATATACCATGTGAAGTTTTTTCTACCATGTACCTCACCGGAATATTCAAAAGAGTCGTTTAACTCATTCTGCGGAGTATTGACCCCTGCAAACAATAATGATGTCTTTTTAAAAACTTTTTATTATGACAAAATAGACGGATTGAAAAAAATACGGTAGGGTCTGCCGTGCAAACATTATCAACGTCTGAAATGTCTGAACATTTATTTATTCATTTATTTATTTATTTATTTATTTATTTATTTTATTTTATTTTATTTATTTATTTATTTATTTTTTTATTTATTTATATTAGAAGTAATGATACAACTTGATAGTAATGGTTACCATCTAAATGTTCGGATCTTCCCCCAACCTCCCCAGAATATCCACTGCAACTTGAAGAGCTCTTTTCCGAGACATTGCATCCTGTAAATAGGGAAACAATAGTCTTAACCCTTTCCCTCATGAGCATATTGTGAAAAATGGCCGTTTTCATTGAAAAGCCTCCTTTTACAAGTTCAAACTGCTATGAAACTATGAAAAATGCTTCAATACTAATCAAACTTGGCACAAATGTTGACTGGACCATTGCCTTTGTAACAACATGCTCAGTCTTTAATTTCCTGTTACCATGGCAACGAGGGGACATCTCAAATTTGCCAAAAATCACTATTTTGCCTTGATTTTTTCCATCAAAATTTCTTTCAAAGTCCTGCAACTTCTCAAGGAATTGAGATAGAGTCAAAGGCTTTTCAGCGTTGGTTACACGTTACCATATGATCGACCTGGGGTAATTTTTTCCCTCTCACAAGTTCAAAATTTTCTTGGCGAAGAGGGGGACTACCGCCCCCTTCAAACCCCCAAACAGAAGGGAGCACATCCCCCTTCTGGCAACCCCCTGATGTATCTATTGTATGGGGGCGGCGCCGAAAAAGTGCTCACTTTTTTTTAGCAACATTTCTCAAACGAAAACATGTGTTTAAGGCCCAAATAGGACATTTTTTCACTATTTGAGGCCTAAAAGATGGGGGAGGGGTCAAAAGTGCGTTGTTTCGCGTATATATGAGGTAAAGGGTTAAACAATTATTTTGCATTTATATCAATGGATTGATGGGTTCAAACCTCGCCAGAGGCAAAAAAATTGTTTCCTTGGCAGGGAACTTTACACCCAACGCTTGGTACTTGTTGGTTCCGGGAACGGACACAAAAGAGTGTTTCAATAAGCTGATAGCTTTCAAAACAATCGAGCTAAAACAAAGTCGTATTTAGACTAAATTAAATGTTATATTTGACACAGAAAACACATAGTATCAATGAGGCTGAAGGGTTCCCTTTAAAGGTTCAGGCAGAACAATTTCAGCCACCGTTTAACTCTGTGTGATCATACGAAACAACTAAATGGGTTTGAATAACAAAAGTCTATGCATCTCTTAGCTCCAGCAGGTGGGGGTGATTTTGACCCCTTGTTTTGCCTTGAATCATGTAACAACCAAAGTTAGCCAAAATCATCAATCCAGTTTCGGGGCCATATGACCTACACTATGTTAGTGCGCCGTAAAACCAAATAAACAACCAACAACGCATATCAAGTAAACAGTTAAACATTTTTTTAAAAAACAATTAAATTCATGATTCATTTTAATAGTGTAAACAAATATTACTACAAGTCTTGTTATTACGAGCAATAACGCGATGTTGTTCCTGTACTTTTCTAAAAATTAAATTATGCACACGCATATTGGTTAATTTAAACAAAGGGTGCAGATTTTGCGAGATTATATTCTAACTACAAGTTCTACAATATTTCATGTATTAGTATAAGCTATATGCATGATTTCACATATATGCTCGTATTAGTAAACGCACTGAAAGGAGGAAGATTTCGTTACGGATATTTCAATTTCCTTAATAACATTCGAGTTAAGAAAAAATAACACAACGCATCCATTTAATATGCATGTTATATAATTATGCAAATAGTACCTGAGGACAGTAAATCTGTAAATCTTCCTCGTACTGGTAATTCATCAGAAAATACTGTTGTCATGATTTGTAAAAGACTAAGCAGATCTGAATGCGGCTACAAATAAGCAGCAACAGTATATGATTATGTTTATAACTGAATAAATAATTAGTTGATACCTGAAAATTAGATATTATATCTTAATATTATTACGCAAGATTAAATGCATTTTCCTTAAACAGAAAGTGTTTATAAGCATACTATTTTTCATATACACATTGATTGTTGCATTTATCAGTCAACCATGTGCAATGTCGTAATTAAGATGTAAACTCTGTTGAGTCTTGGTGATGCGTCACACGAATAAGAAAAACAACAAATTTAAAGGCGTTTTGAAAATTATAACACTGGTAAAACTAATAGTTGATACATAATAGCAAGAATAAATAGAAAGTTTTAATAATGATATAAAATTAACATAAAAGATCGAAATATACTTACAAAGTTCCATTCTGAGAGATATGGTATTTGAACCTTGCCGTTCATGTCAACGAAGTTCCCAGACATTACGTACATACGAGAAGACGGTACAACATAAGCTATTGGTGGTCTATGCGGATGTCTTTTACTTAGCCATATTGCAATTGGCACGTTAACATCAGACTCTGAAATGGATTGAGCTAAATTATATTCAATTATATCTTAATATCATAAATAAGCGATATTTTTCTTTTCAAAATAATTACATACTTTAACTGCATTTTGAAAGAACTTACGGCACTGTCGTATTACCTATTTAGCATTTTAGCTACATACCATTGAAGGAATCGTATTATACTATAAGACTTTTGCACTTGCTGCTAGATTAAGAAGAAAGTAGTCCAGCAATACACCAATGAAAATACGGAAAATATGTTTCACTGAAGTGAAAAAAAAAAAGTTTTAACAGTAAAAATACGGAAAATGAAAATACGCATTTTATTTCACCATTATTGCAAAATATTTCATTTATAAATACACGTTATATAATAAATAAAAACAAACAAGTATTAAGTCATACACTTCATTCAGATAAAAATAGCAGTTATTATATCTTAAAGTGAAATTATGTCACTGAAGCATGCCATTTATTTTATCAACTAAACATATAGACAACGTGTTTAAAAACTGCATTTACCTTCAAATTTGACAGTTATAGTTCCTTTCAGTTTTATTAACTTCTTCTGAAAACCATCTTCATACACTTAAAATTGAAATATTAAATAGCATACATTATTTTGAAGTATATAAATATCTTCATGTAGTAAAATTTACTGTTATTGCTCAGAAATAGATTTATACGTTTTTACCAAAGAAGCCAAAAGAAGCGTTATAAAGCGAACTAGTGGCTGTGTAACATTATAGAACGACTTTGATGTAATAAAACTAATTAGGATGAAAGAGATTGTAAGATATTTTTATTTCAATTATCACAGTCATAACATTAAAATGCTTTAAAAACGCCGCGGAAAGCATTTATCACCTTTTGATGGAACATTTTTATACAAGTTAAAGAATACGTTATGAGTTTTCATAGAACAATATTAAGTAAACGGCCTAATGTTAAAACAGTTTAACAGGTTATTGTGTAAAAAATAGGAAAAAAAAAAAAAAAAAAAACTAGGCAAAATTAATTAAAACTTTTAGCAGCTCACCATATAATATCTTCATTTATAGTCTAAGTCCGAACAAACTTTCAAAGGCACATAGTACAATCAGTTTTCAACCGCCTCCGAATGTTCGTACTAGATATGAAGATTTTGTAAAAAAGATAAGATTAACTGGAAACATAATGTTTGAATAAATTATACATAAGAATACATTTATATATAATTTACATACTAATAAATGTATTGCCGAATGGATAGAACGTAGACGAGTTGGTTACGGTGGAAGTGATGGTTGTTTAACACACCGGATTACGCAGTCAGTCACTTTGAAAACACCAGGGCACTTGTTTTAGCGGACTTGCCACCGTGGTCTTTGGCCCGGCTTTTTAAAACGGTTAACTTGCTCAATAGTCTGAACTTTCCGAAAGACACTAACAACTTCAGAAAATGCCAGAGCGCAGAAGTACAGTTGCGAAAAAACATAAGACAGGGAAATTTCATTATCAATCACAAATAAAAAATGAAAATACGCCCCTGCCCAGGAAAACGGGAACCCAGGTTGCCCGATGCACACTTTACCTATTGAGCTGACCAAAAGGCTTACTTTTTTTATATTTCAGAACTAGTTATCGATAATAATATCGTGAAATATGATATGCAACTTCATTTCGTCCACCCGTTTTTCCATATGCGACGGGCAGTGGGTTTAAAAATAGGTATTTTTTAACCCCAAACCGTTTTAAATTTTCTTTAAATTTTTAAAAGGGCAAACAGTTTTGGGTTTAAAAATTCGTTTTTTGAACCAAAAATAATATTTATCAACGGTTCCTAATGCCCCATACTGGGTGGGGGGGAGTTTTTTGGAAAATTGAAAAATTCGGTTTAAAATTTTAAAAATTAAACATTTTAAAATGAAATGGTAAATAACGAAATGTCAACCCTTGACAGAATTATGTTAACCACGGTTAATGCGTCAGTTGGACATCACATCATCTTGTCTAGGATGAAAATTTTGTTATGTGATATTCATATCGTGGTACCTTATTTCACCATTGCGTCACTATATTTAACTATATTTAGTCACTATATTTAACTGTATTTAGTCACTACATTTAACTATATTTAGTCACTATATTTAACTGTATTTAGTCACTATATTTAACTATATTTAGTCACTATATTTAACTGTATTTAGTCACTACATTTAACTATATTTAGTCACTATATTTAACTGTATTTAGTCACTATATTTAACTGTATTTAGTCACTATATTTAACTGTATTTAGTCACTATATTTAACTATATTTAATCACTATATTTAACTATATTTAGTCACTATATTTAACTATATTTAGTCACTATATTTAACTATATTTAGATTGAAAAATAGGGTATTAAATTAAACCAATATCATTAAATTCAGATCATCGATCTCTACGAAGCCTGCCTTACGAATAGTAGTAGAGCGACAGTAAGGATATGATTTCAATTGAATTGAAATTAAACCATCCTGGTGACAAACATACAAAAATATAAAAAGAAGCTTAAAGAGCTATGCACACAGCATAATCATGTTTCAATATTTTGATTAATTTTCAATATTGAATTTCGTAGATAATCTCCATACAATTTATCTAGTATAGGGGTCATATTTAGAACAATATCAAATTTTGAAACGTACACTTTGTAAATTAACTCGTAATTGTCCCTCCATATACAGCAATACATGTAATTGACTTGATTTTGTTGTAAAACCTTGTGCATTTATATCACTGACATTCATAATCAAACTTTACATGAATGATATAAAAATATCCTATACATATTTACCTACCTCGAGACTTATAATGGATGAAAATAGAGCCTTCTCATAATCAGACATCCTAAAAATCTATATGTTTTAACTTCCTGTGATTTACAATAACTCAGATTGTTTCTACTTTTGGTTTCAAACTATATTTATATCTAGGTAATCATTATTATATGATCTTTAGTCACTACTACATTCAGTTTTGTTGAAGATAATAAGTGTATACTGTAAACATGTTGTATTTAACACATCATTGCACCATTCTACTTTGTATCTGTGTGTAAACTGCTTTTTTTCTAGTCTGAACAGAACTTAATACAGTATTTTCGGACATTTATAAGGTATTATCTACTCATTACCATGGTTTCTTTATCTCATTGTTTTTTTTTAACTTGGAGCTTTTAAATTCGTTAAATTCTTAATTGTATTAATGTTTAATTTTTTTTATAACAGTGATTGAATTAATATAAACTGTGTTGATGCTGCTTGTTTTTTGTTTTTTGTTTTTTTTTTCGTTTTTTTTTTCTTTTGCAATAAAACTTGTATATAATACTGTAAAGAAAACAAAATGAACCAGATATATATCTGCTTTAGATCCTGGGGTCAATTCCAGGATCACAGTATATAAACCAGTCTATTTCCTGTACTCGCAAGAAAGATGCAAGTTAAAATAATATAGGCTCCCATAAAGGTACAGTGATCAGGGCTGCGTTTCATGGAGAGTCCTAAGTCTTAAGTTTGTCTTAAGACAAAAATTGTGATAATTTTGCGTTACAAAGAAAGTCTTAAAAAAGGTCCTAACTTATGACTCCTATATTTATGACCAAAAACAGTCCTAAGTCTAGGAGTTTTTTAAAGGTATCTTAATATTTTCCTTTATTCCTTGATAACTCTGTTGTGAACAGTAAGCTAATAATTGCTCTATTTCGAGACTAAAGAAATCTCTTTTCCCATGATTTGTAAACTGATAAGTTGTAACGTTTGTTTGCGTCAGTGTGCTATGAGGCTGTTGAAAAAATATAACCCGAATTACAAATTTTGATGTCATCTATACCTAACTTTAATAGGTGTTCACGCATTCATGAAAACATGCTTACAGACATGTGCCTGTATCTGCTTGCTCTGTTAGAAGAAATAAGTCATACTATACTGGAATATATTTGAGCCGTGTCACGACAAAACCAACATAATGGGTTTGCGACCAGCATGGATCCAGACCAGCCTGCGCATCCGCGCAGTCTGATCAGGATCCATGCTGTTCGCTATCAGTTTCTTTACTTGTTATAGGGTCTGTAAGCGAACAGCATGGATCCTGATCAGACTGCGGGGATGCGCAGGCTGGTCTGGATCCATGCTGGTCGCAAAGCCATTATGTTGGTTTTGTCATGGCACGGCTCATTTTATTTTTTGTTCAGAAACTGTGTCGTGTAAAATGTTATAAGCGAGAAATATTGTTGACAAATATTAACAAAGGTTACGACATACCAACATATACTTATACATCTACTTAAGCAAAGTGGAAAGATGTTTGTTAACGTTTCATTATATTATTATCGTACATTTAAACGGCAATTATTATATTTCTTAGATGACGTAACCGTCATATGTACTAAACATTTGTTGTCGTAGTTATCTCCCTTTTACCGCGGATATTTTGAATGCATAATACAGATAACTTGCCAGATTGTTAATTGTTTTGATAAATGTGCTTGTCATAAGTGTTTGTAGGTCATCTACAAAACTATGGTTTAAAAACCTTTCTACGTAAATTGTAATGTTTTGGGCATATGAGGAAATGATATTATGATTCTACCAAATGTAAAGGACAGTTTCAACATCTTCCATTTTCTCTTGGAATATGTTCGTGCCTTACTTTTTCCGATGACTTGATGATGCGCTTTAACATTACTTTTAATGTCATGCTCATATGATTTTTGCCTGACCCTTTTCACGATCTACTATTCTTTTTCTAATTCTTTTTTTTCCTAATTTGTCAAAGCTTTAGTTTTTCTTGATACATTTGTACGTGTCACATAAAAGTATTGAAATTTAAAACATTGATGTTTTTTACATGGTTCAAACATTATGATAAGTCAGGAAAAAATAAGCAGGAAAAAATAATAAGAAAAAAACATCATCATCATCATCATCATCATCATCATCATTATTATTATTATTATTATTATTATTATTATTATTGTTGCATTTCCGTATCTAATAAAAATGAATCAATTTAAAAACACTGTATTACTATGACTTCATGGCCTATTATGAAATATAATAACTATGATAATATGATAACATTACAATCATATATAAGATAGTTCTCATTTTACATTAAATCCGTGTGTTTAAATGCAACTATTTATCTTTTTTTTCTCAGTATATTCTGACATGTAGCATTTTCAGAGAACGAAATTAACTGAATACAAAATAAGAAGTAAAAAGCAAAAGTAACCTACTACTCTAACGTTTTCATTATATGTACAATAGCTGAAAATTTTACAGTAATTTGATACGCAATAACAACTCTACATATTGACTAAACGAGTTTAAATGGTTGCTGTATAACACTTAGGTTAGATACATTATATAAGTCGAACACGATAACGTTTACATTAAGCGGTCGTACCATTATGCCATAATGGGTTGTGCAAGTTATCCAGTTATTACATTTTGCATTTTTATTGCAATATAGCAAATAAAGTGGGTACCGAGTAGCGTTGTGGGTTTTTAGAG